TCCTCTTTACCCCCAAAGTGGATTATTCCAATTAGTAACACATTAATGAAAAGACTGGAATGTTTCGCAACAAAACACGTCTCGCCATATGACGCTCAAGGAATCTGATACCTATTATGTTCTGTAACTTGCATCTATAAAGGAATATTGCCCTACTAAAATCAAAGAAAAATATCATTGAAGTTTATTTTTCTCTCATTTGAAATTGCTATATATGTTATTCAATCAACATGAGAAAGTAACAAATTCTACTTTCAAAATACAATTCCGCAACTCTCCAATTTATGATACAATTGCATAGGTATCTAGCTACATATACATTTGCACCAACATGTTTTCCTCATTTTGTCATATCACAATTGCATCTATGCACATTAATTAGTGCAAAATTAAACTGCAAACTCTTTATGAGGGAGTAAAAAGACACGCTGATATTGTGCCGTCAAACACCGCTGCTCTGACGTCTAAAGACATAGCCCCCCCCCCCCCCTCTTAAGATAAAATCTTATATTTGAGCCCCAAAAAGTGAGAAAAAATTCGGAAATTCTTTGGATTGAATCCAGATCGCCCAATAGAAAATTCAACATGCTAACCATTACACTATCAAACACCGTCTCTTAAAATTGAAAAATGATAAATATTCAGAGTATGGGTTAATCAATTTTTAAACAAACTACATATTTAGCATTCTTGTAAAACTCTTTATTAAGCCTATCAACATCATAAAAAAATATTGAAAAACAAAAAAGTTCAAAAAATTACCCTTTTTAAATCACTTCCTGTGACGACCGGAAGTTACGACGACACACGAAATGTTTCCATCACACATCTACAAACCAAATTCTATCATACCTGAAAGTTTCAGACTCCTACCTTTAACAGTTTCTGAGAACATTCATGGACTAGATTTTTAGTGTAAAAAGTGAAAAATCGTAATAATTCCCGACCGGAAGTAAATTTTTCCAAACTTTTTCAATATTTCAAAATGGCATGAGATAACAAATCATTCCTGAAAATTTGGCTGAAAATGAATGAGTAGTTTTTGAGATATCGCGATTTGAAAAGGTCAGAAAAATAAAAATGAAAAATAATAATAATAACTAGAAACTCATTGCAAGCAATGAGAGGTCTTCCGTCCGATTCTGAAAAAAAGAAAACTCAAACTGAAAAAGTGATAAAAGAAATTCAGACACTCTGGAGATTTAACCCTCGTCGTCAGCCTGAAAATCCAACGTGCTAACCATTAACCATTCCCTTATTTGCATTACTTTCTGTCACGACCGGAAGTAACGGCGATACAAGATTTTGTCACGATTCAAATAAACTGATCACTGACTATCAGTCCTGAAAGTTTCAGACCTCAATCGTTTACTGTTGCCGAGCAATAGACCGGAAGTTGACGTTTTATTTCCGGTGGAATCTAACATATTTCAAAACAGCGAAAGAGATGCAATCAAGTGATGCAAGTTTTAGCTTAAAAAAGAAAGAAGAGAAATAATATGATTGCATCCTCTGATCTAAATAATAAAACAGGTTTTGTAATCCTCAGAAAAAGTTCTATCATTTTATAGTTGCATATTTAAGATCAGAGGTTACGCTCTATATTAAATATCGAAAAATTAGCTTTAAAAATTGGTTTGTTTTGTAGAATTTTTCACGATATGAGGAAAATGTCGCATTTCATGACGTCATAATGCATTGGCTAGCCAGAAAATTACGTCATTTTGATAGATACGCAGTCATCAAAGGTCTAAATGATATTTAATGCATTGTCAAAGAAGTTTCAGTTTTTCTGAAATTCACAGGGCCAAAAAAGGCCCTAAGTGGACCTTGTTCTTTAATATTGATACCACTACACTAGCGCAATGTACCAGCCATCATTGATGTTTACCTTGCACTCATTCCCTGAAGTAACGAGTGTCAGGCAGGTTAATCTTTATTTCTTATAGTGTGGAATTATAGGATGAAAACTTGCCAGCTAAATTTTGTGCAAGTACTAGTAGATTTACATCGGATTTGTTACTTGAGTTTTAACAATAACTGATAGCAGAGAAAATAATCTGTTACTGATAAAAACTAAAAAAAAAAACTATTGTGTTTACTTCCTTTATTCTTTATGCATTCAACTTTCTATTCTATGCAATTCCAAATTCAGACATGTCCGTGTAATCTTTTTCTGTACTTCTACACTACTGCATCAGACCATTTGTGAAAGGCGGGTCAAGATACATTATTTCGCGCCAAACGTCACGAGTAAATCTTCGCGCCTTTTCTTTGGAATGTGTCTTCAATTGAATAAGAGTACGTGATAGCTTCAATGAAATTTTTAAAAATATGTTGCTGTAGCCTGATTTTCGAGTCTAAGAATGTATAGTTATCACACTGTACATATTACATATCGTATACGGGCAAGTAACATAAAGGCAGCACTAAGTTTTCTTACACATTTTATATTCCTCTTTACCCCCAAAGTGGATTATTCCAATTAGTAACACATTAATGAAAAGACTGGAATGTTTCGCAACAAAACACGTCTCGCCATATGACGCTCAAGGAATCTGATACCTATTATGTTCTGTAACTTGCATCTATAAAGGAATATTGCCCTACTAAAATCAAAGAAAAATATCATTGAAGTTTATTTTTCTCTCATTTGAAATTGCTATATATGTTATTCAATCAACATGAGAAAGTAACAAATTCTACTTTCAAAATACAATTCCGCAACTCTCCAATTTATGATACAATTGCATAGGTATCTAGCTACATATACATTTGCACCAACATGTTTTCCTCATTTTGTCATATCACAATTGCATCTATGCACATTAATTAGTGCAAAATTAAACTGCAAACTCTTTATGAGGGAGTAAAAAGACACGCTGATATTGTGCCGTCAAACACCGCTGCTCTGACGTCTAAAGACATAGCCCCCCCCCCCCTCTTAAGATAAAATCTTATATTTGAGCCCCAAAAAGTGAGAAAAAATTCGGAAATTCTTTGGATTGAATCCAGATCGCCCAATAGAAAATTCAACATGCTAACCATTACACTATCAAACACCGTCTCTTAAAATTGAAAAATGATAAATATTCAGAGTATGGGTTAATCAATTTTTAAACAAACTACATATTTAGCATTCTTGTAAAACTCTTTATTAAGCCTATCAAAATCATAAAAAAATATTGAAAAACAAAAAAGTTCAAAAAATTACCCTTTTTAAATCACTTCCTGTGACGACCGGAAGTTACGACGACACACGAAATGTTTCCATCACACATCTACAAACCAAATTCTATCATACCTGAAAGTTTCAGACTCCTACCTTTAACAGTTTCTGAGAACATTCATGGACTAGATTTTTAGTGTAAAAAGTGAAAAATCGTAATAATTCCCGACCGGAAGTAAATTTTTCCAAACTTTTTCAATATTTCAAAATGGCATGAGATAACAAATCATTCCTGAAAATTTGGCTGAAAATGAATGAGTAGTTTTTGAGATATCGCGATTTGAAAAGGTCAGAAAAATAAAAATGAAAAATAATAATAATAATAATAATAAGAAACAGTAGAATCACTATAGGTCTTCCGTTGAAAACGGAAGACCTAATAATAATAAGAAACAGTAGAATCACTATAGGTCTTCCGTTGAAAACGGAAGACCTAATAATAATAATAATAAAACAAGACGAAAACAATAGGGCTTTTCGCCAAAAGTCGAAAAGCCCTAATAATAATAATAATAAAACAAGACGAAAACAATAGGGCTTTTCGCCAAAAGTCGAAAAGCCCTAATGAGGCTCAGAGGTCCAATGAAACAATGTACAAATCATTCTTAGATGCACGGATACAGTAACATCCAATATATATTGATTTTACATGTAAAGAAGCATCAAATAGATGCTGTGAACATTAGTAACATTCTTAATCATAAAAAGGTTCAGTCTCAGTATTCCACCATATTTCAAGATGATATCAACACCCTGCATTTCTTGCAGATATGGTAAAATAGAATAGAGAAACCTTTTATACTCCTCAGATTTGATATACACAGTGCATTATATAGGTCCATTCGATTGATTGATGTAGGAAAGAACTTGTTTAAGTGCATGTACTGGGTCATTCAATATGGAAAGAATAATCACTCTGTAAAAGTGGAGTTCAAAGCCTGTTGTACGACGAACCAGTGACTATCTAAATATCGTGTACAGTAGGATTTACATGTCTTAGATAATAACATCTACGTTTGCTTGTAGCCATTAAGAATTTATTTAGCGAGTGTGTAAACCCCCATCAATGCCATACAATATCTCCATGACCGGTATTCCTTGAAAAGTAAAGGGACGGATGCTTCTGTTGCTGTAGAGTCATGTTCCCTAGCTTTCTCTAGCTCTCTGTCTAGAATTTTGAAAGTTCGCATTTTAGATACATGTATGTAATTTCCTTTCAAAATAACTTTTGAGAAAGATTTGATCCAGAAAGTAAAGGTTTTTATCGCATCAACGTGTACGAAAAATGTTAACTTGGCATTTGAAGCCATTTCTGTAAAATCAATGTATGAACTTTCCTAATACCCAGCGTTTAGCGAAGGACTAGTTAGAATCCATGTTTGATACCAGTATCTGTATCGGTCGCAATCCTTGAACTCATAATCTTCGGTTTACCATGTAAACGCACTACTGATCGAGCCAAAGTGATCCCACGGTAAAGAACATGCAGCAACTGAAATTTCATGTATGTACTGTACTATATGGTACTGATAATACATAAAAATAGACTATGCAAGTAGAATACGGTAAATTAAATTTTCATATATATTTTTAAGTATGCGTTAGACCTATTGTTCACTCAGATGTCGCAGTGAAAAATTCGTTTACATATGTTCATAATCTTTACACAGCTTGTACAGTTTACTGTGAAACTTTTTTTTTTTTTTTTACACAATTCAGTATTATTTTATCCTTAAATTTTTAATCCTTATTTAGATTTTTTTTTATTTACCTGATCCAGAGGCGATATTTATTACACCAATGAGCACAATCCATTGTAGAAAACTCAGAAAACCGTCCATATTTCTTAAAGATGTAATGCGTATCAGCAAGCCACAACTGAAAAGAACACCTGTGAGTAGGTGTAAGTGTAATAATATGCAAATGTTTTATCACTAAAGATTGGAAATTTTGAAGGAATTTAAGCAGATCCAGTTTGAAAATGGCAGTGTTCTTTTTATTTAAATAAATCATTTGGGGAGGATGGGACTGCCGAAACTTTCCATGCCGATACCTGATCATTTAGGAAATAATAAAAAACGTATTTCCATGGGACAGAGAAAAATGTTGTCACCCAAATCAATACCTGGCTATTGAATCTTCATGGAAAAGGAGAGGTCCACAAACTTTTGTTCTACTCGGCATATAACTTTGAAATAACAAAAATGTCGCCCCCTGGCTCTGTGACCATTGTATAAACAACTAAATGTTCAGATCAAGTGTATTTATATGGTTTTTTTAATACAAAGTCAGCAATTTTATAAATGATTTAGAGATGATTTCGTAAGAAAAAATATTCACTTATTAGTAGTATTGATAACTATAGAATCGTGTGAAAAGGGGGATATCAATGTTCATTGGGTAACCAAACTTTAAAAAGTTTCGTGGGAACAGAATTTCGTGGGTACATGTGACTCGTACGTACAAAAGACTGAATGAACCAATTCGTGGACAAAGTTAACAATCTTGAGATTGTAAATTCGTGGGTAAGGCGACACGTGAAATCCCAGAACGGTCTCCTACAAACAATGATGATTCTACAGTAGATCAATTTTGCTTTTCTATTGTTTTTTAATTAATATATCACGAGTAGTAAGCCTGATCAGCCATCATTGTTTGCACCTACTAATCTTGGCTAACGACGTGCTTATAGATAAGTAACAGTCTCGTCTTCAGACGGCCACACTTTGATTCTGATAAGGAAAGTTAGAAACTTCCCTCCGAAATAAGGTCAGTAATTTAAATGTTTCATGTATCCATGCTTGGGTCAATCAATGAATGAAATTGCTTGTCCGTTGTTTAACTTCCTTTGAGTGATTTTTTCCCCCCACTTATACGAAATGTCGCTAAATGCTGGCGAATGGCATCTTTTTCTTTTATGATTATATATATATATATATATATATATATATATATATATATATATATATATATATATATATATATATATATATATATATATATTTAGTTAACGAAAACATGAAAAAAAAATACTCAGTATACCTTATAAATAAACTCTTATGACACAACATGCTTCTCTTTCAGGAAAATATGTGGTCTTTTAAGTCAAGGGTCATATCACAGATATGATTTAAATGCACTATTTGTTGTGAGCTGTGTAGCGTAGTGTTAGTCTCAAACAAAATATGATATTCAGGATTTTTATTGATTGCATTTGAACCCAAATAATACCATAATTTAAAAAAAAAAACATGAATAATTTTTGCTTTGAAAAATTTCCGCAGAAGTTTTGTTTGTCGTAATGTCATACCTTTCAGTAATAAGAACCTTGAATACTAAATTCACAAATTGAATATGATTTTCATACTTTTGAAGCTATATTCGCCCATCTCCTTTAAAAATTCCCTGAATGGCTATTTGGAAAGTCTCATTATCTTAGATTCTAGGTCGAAAACGTTATCTTTGTCATGCGAAGAGGATCGTTACAGTGTAAGATTTAATCTGTATAAATACGTAATGAATTTTCAGTTTGTTCCGTGTTTCATGGTTAACTTACAGTTTCAAAACATGTGCATGAGCAGTATAATAATTATATTTTGTATTTAAACAGTACTTTTAATGTTTGAAAAGAATTTTCACTCACGCTTATTCATTCCAATGAAAATGGTTTCAACTCCATTATTGTCTTGTGAAGACAAATTTTGCTAATTATTTAAGATACAATGAGCATATTTCAACGAAAGTTTGTTTCTTTCAGATGAAGTTTGTTGTGATTCTATGTTGTCTAGGCCTTGTGTAAGTTGAACATTCCAGCATATATATATATAAATTTTTTTATTCCTTCTTTTGTGGTTTAATTGAACGATTTTAATTATCCTTAACTTATGCCCCTATCACACAAAACTCGTTTCCAGAGCTTTCTATCCTTTAAAACTCTAATATGGCCTGAATGTGTAAGTTTTTACAATGTATAAATGTCTACAATACTATCCTAGTTTATTCATAAACAGGTCTTAATACGTGACTCTCGTCTGTTCCCCGTCTTACATGAGTTCGTGTTTAGTTCAGATCGGGTAAACTTGCCTTTTCGAAGCAGTCGAAGCCCGTCTGTTGTCAGATTAAGCTCCTTCTTAACTCGTTTCCTAGCCCGTTCTTACTAGTTCGCAACTCGTTCTACATATAATAACTATACTATAGTAACTTTTAACCACATCGTATCCTGCGTTTGAACGCAGTCGTGCATTGAATGCACTATCATTCAACAACAGCTAGCGTGTCAGTTTGCTTGATCGACCGTAGTAAAATTTCACAAATTGATTACCCTATTACCTATCGATTGGATGTTTGATTTCAATGGGATTAATACTACTTTGCATATGAAACACAGAATCCTGCAATACCACAAATAATACTGACCGATCACATTGAGTAATTGTTTACGAGTACAGCATTTGTAGTAAGCAGCAATGCACGGTCAGTCAAAACCCGTTTTCTGCATGTGTTATATTTGGTTGTGATCAGATATTCTTAGTACAAGGAAGAGACATTCTATAGATTTTGATTCATTACAATATTGGATTCAAACAGCTTTCTTGAACATCTAAAATGAAACTCTAGCGCTTTGTTGTGTGAATCAAACGTATTGTAACAAGCATTCTGAGAGTAGGGGACTAACAAGCGTGTTTTAGCTATCACTGGAGTATCGCACCCATGTACTAGTACCGAGGAGTGTTGCTTTACTAGTTTTTATGTAACTCTTCTTATAATACACTAGATGAAATCCCGCGCAAGCGGGGGGAATTGAATTCATACAACTACCGACAGAAAATATTTTGTAGTTTCTACTGACAGCCTACAAGATTATAGCAGGAAGAAATACTTTGTTCAAATTCCCGCACGAAGTAGATGTACGCCTCCCCCTCCCCCTTGTAAAAACTTGAAAATTAACAATTTCATTAATTGACGTTTATTGTGAAACCTCTTATACTATGTTATGGATATTGTACTTCAGATGCTTTTATTTCATTTCCGTCAAGAATAAAAGCAGTGAATATGCACATTTTACTGATAAATTGATTTGGGGGGAGGGGGGGGGTCAAAATTCACAGGTACTTGGGTCTTTGTTTATAAATATGTTTGTACCTTACTGATATGTAAATAATGTACTTTACTTTTTTTTTACATATCAATAAGGTACATACACATTTATAAACCAAGACTCAAGTACCTGTGTAAAATTAGCTTTTAACGCCATATGAATAGGCCGAGTATTTGATACAAAAGACTGTTTTCAGAAAAAAAAATGAAATGTATTGATTAAAGCACAAAATTTTACATCTTTAATTGTGTTTGAACAATACCTTATTCATTAATTTTCTCTTTACATGTAAGCAATTTTTTTACGAAGTACAAATTGTACTTCGGGTTCGTAAGGAATATATAAAATGTTTCAAAAAATGTTTCATGTTACAAATTTTACCGATAAATTTATTAGGAAAACCTACTACATACATGAATATATGTATAGGTAATAGTCTTTCGATATATAAATATATTCACAACTTATAGTGTTATCAATGATTTACCATTATTTCAATGACCAATCACACAAAAGCCTTTTTTTATGCTATGCAGCTATATGCACCTCGTTTTTTTCAACATCGGGCTCGATGCTATATGATGTTCTAGAAGCTTCCGTCAATATTAAGATCGGTGAATGACGAAAATAATTTACACATTTCCCTTTTTAATCGGTTATCACAACTTATTTCTTTTATATCATTTAAATCAAGTTTTGATTGAATAATTCAGTGATGACGTTTTATGAAATAAATAAACGATTGCTCGTGTCAGTTTCATTAAAAATTGCCAGCAACTTAGATCCGCCAACCGGAAACGCCACCGTACTCACGTTTTTGCTATTTCATGGCTGTTTATAGAAAATAAAAGTAGACTTTTAATTTAATGTACGAAACTTACTTTGCGAGTGAAATCTAAATATAGTTTACGGACATCATCTTGTATCTAGTGTATTGTTAGAGGAGTAAGTAAGAACTCTGGTGCACCCGTTCCGGAGTTTATTTGCAAAATTTATTAATTTATAAGTATAGATTTATCCTGTCAATTCACAATTAAACATGACACGTAAGATATAGGAAGTTAAGCAGACTGACTGACCACGCGTTGCTGTTTTCTACCGTAATAAACAATCATTCAGCGTGTTCGATGCGATTGGTCAATACTCTCGATGGTAATTGGGGTTCCTGTGTTTTATATGTAGAGTAGTATGCACCAGCCAGCCAATCAATGAGTAATATGGTACTCAACGTGTGAAGTAAACTGACACGCTGTTATTGGAATGATGGTGCAATGCGATCTTGACTCACGGGCTATAAAACCCAGACAGTTCTTTGCCATTCTTCATTATTGTTCACACAAACTGCATACTACTCAATTTCACTATGCCTCCAAAGAGAAAAACCGCCCGTGCGAAAAGAAAAACTCAAGTCCCCAATTCACAGACCCGTCGTAAGAACAAATTACAGCAATCCTTTCGTAATAAGACAGTTCCGTCCTTGATGCTCCTTCTCGTTTGAAGTCACCCCGACCAAATCTAGGACGGTAACAAAATTTTGAATTGATTCGAAATTTGGCCATCCTTCTCATCCAAACCAGTTCGGGCACGTCAATGAAGTTCTGACAGTTGTTACAATGTTCTCTCCATTTGCAAACCGTTTGGCAACATTTTTTAGAACGTAGCAAAAACTAGTTTGGTGTGATGAGGGCTTTCCGTGGGTACATTGTTCTTCAATATCTGGTATGATGGAGACTTTATGTGAAGTACATTGTATTTATATTTCTGGTGTGATGGCCATGGGCGCTTTACGTGGGGTACATGGTACTTTAATTTACAGAGTATTATGCGATGGGGCTTTACGTGGGGCACTTTAATGTTATGCTTATTTTGAATAGATTTGCCGATTCCGAACCACAGAGGGAATACATTTTATTTGAGAAAGTTGATCATGACTTAAGTGGCTGTCTTGACCGCAGTGAAGTTGACAATATTTTCCTAGCCTTTGATGTAGATCGTAAGTTTCTTCTTTGTACTGTACAGTCACGGTATCCTGCTTATTTGCTTAAAAACATACAAGAAAAAGTTAATTGTACAAAATTCATAGAATACTGTACTTACACATGTATACTAATTTATTGTTCATTGTCAATATGACAAAACATAATGGCCTTAAATTCACTTTTTTCCCTTCAGTATTATATGATATTGTTTATTTCATCAACTATTTTTTAAATGAAATGTGAAGCTAAGTAAACGAACAGCCATCATTCTCAAAGTCTATTAAAACAATACAAATTATGAGCAGAGCCAACACGAACCTCTGAAAACATAAGTGGGGTCAGGTGCCATGGTGTAGTAGGCCTCCCCTGTAGACCGTTCACACCCGTCTGATGCTCTTTTTCATGATTGGGTAAACGGAAAATCCTTAGACAGTTCAGTGTGAAAGTAATGGCCTAACAATTTGTATGAAAAAAGTCAGTCAACATTAAATTTTGACCTTACGAAAGTTTCTGTCTGTATTTGCAAACAAGGCAATTATATTGTATCGACCAAAAAATTTGCGAAATGTTGACTTTAAACGAGATTGTTGATATATTTGTATCATCAACTTTCTTGTAAATAGCCTGCTGATAGGCTGATCGGTAAATAGAATATGCTCTTGCGTATCGAATAAACTAAGAAACATCAACTCCATATGCAGGTGAGAATGGTATATTGCTACATAAGGAAAGGAAGTTGAGAGCCCCAATAATATAACACAGTAAAAGATCCATAGAAATACAAAATAAACCAAAATAATATGGACGATGAAGCTATATGTAAGTCGCTCAGAAGCAAAAGAAGTAGGATGATCAGGGATCAACAAAATAATTAGTCCTCAGTAATATATCTTAAAGTAGATGCATTTATTTGCCTGTACTTGCCCTCAGTTGTAACTATCACGATGGATACTAAACAAAAGAATAGTGCTGAGCATTACTAATAAAACATTTCGTTCCTTCACGCAATGGCTTGTCCTTTTTTGTGAAGAACATTTAATGTACAAAGATAAGCGTTTTGTGTAATTTTGTTCATCCGTTATTTACAAATCTACCAGACCATTAAAAAGTATGAAATTACTTTTTGTATTATTTTTTGTAAAAATTCTTGTATACTGAAACGCAGAAGAAACGCAACAAGCAGTTAACTACAAATATTTGAATTCTTTATCCAATGATGTTCATAAATGAATAAAGTAAGGTAAAACACGATTTAAAAACATCAGAGATTTGATAAAAATGTTAAATGATTATCTTTTAACTTTAGAAAGTAACATATGACTGTTAAAACACTCCCCACCCCGGCCATTAAATTACAGCGTGCAAGACTGCCATGCACAACAATTGCAGCTTGATTTCTACGATGCAATAGGTTTATCTATCTCGAGATCTGAGCGAAAGAAATTTTCTTTGCCATTTTTAAATGCCCGTTTTTCAGATGATAAGGTCGAATTTTCCCTAGCCTAGCGCAGTGTAGTAACCCTTGGACTTCCGCTCCAAGGACTGTCATTCATGCCAATGATACGTAAGAGCCTCCTGAGGCGTGATGTAGTGCATCTGCAACTCTCCATCACCTTTATTTTGAGATTTTCCAGCTAGAGCAATGGAAATGCGTACTTACGTCATTTTCAGGAATCCTTGGCATCGCTTACGGAAAAGAAAGGATTATTTATTTTCGGAATATTGCTGCATTACTTATGATGAACAAATACAAACCCTTAAAACCCCATATTATTGCCAAATGTTTTGTTAAACATGCAATTTTTGATTTCTGTTAAGCGGACTCAAACTTAACGGTAATGGTATGAAAATCATTCAACCGTTAAATTACCGATATTTACAAATTTGAAGATGTCCTTACTTTTTAGATACAAAATTATATCCTATATCTAATATTTTCCCCTAAAATAGGATGTTGCGTTTCAGTATAAAATTCTCTTATTCAATTGACCTTTGAATTATTTACAGTGATTATATAGCAAAGGGTGATAACGTCTCTAAGTAGAATGCATATTAATAGAGCCCTGCCCAGCACCAGAACACCTGAAAAAATACTAGTAGTCCAAAATTTAAAAAAAAATCTGGTAAAACATCCTAGTTTATTACAACTATGTACTCTGTATGCCTCCAAGATACGCAATAGCGTAGGAGAATATTTTGAAAGAAATAATGCATTTTCAGATCCAACACAGTCTCACTTTAACACCAGAAACCCTGATCCAACTGTCATGAAATTCACAATTTTGGAAGAGGCACACTTACTAATATAACTATGCACTGAATTTATATCTTATAACCTAGGAGCAGTGTAGATTTTCAAAACAATGCATTTCCACTACATAATCAATATAGTCCCGCTCTACCACCAGAGCCTCTACATAAATAGGGTCATCAAACCCATGCACTAGTTTGCTAAATACATGCACCCAGTGGCAGAGAAGGTTTTCAAAGAAAAAAGACATTTATATTCAATAGAGCCCCACCCTAACAAAAGAACCCCTGACCCAGGGGCTATGAATTTCATAATTTTGGGAAAAAAAGCATTGTTGCTCATTATTACCATGCATTTAGTTTGTCTGCATAATACCCAGGACAGAGAAGACAATTATATAAAGAAATAATGTATTTTGACTATATAATCAACACAGCCTCGCTCTAACACCAGATTCCTTGACCCATGGGCAACAAAATTCAATATTTAGGAAGAGGTACCCGTGGAGAGACATTTTTAAAGAATTAGAGCCCTATCCTAAGTCCAAGACCCCTGACCAGGGGCCCTGAAGGTCACAATTTAGATAAAGGGTTCAATGCTTATTACAAATATGCCAACAGTTTGACTGCTTGACGTCCAGGAGTTAAGAAGATATTTAGATAGCACTAATTTGGATGATTTTAGCACCCCCCTCACCCGCAGGGGGGGGGGGGGGGGGTCAGGGACCATGAAATTCAAATTTTTGTACCCCTTAATGCTATAAATGCTAAAACTGATTTAAATTGGCTCAATAGTTCAAGAGAAGCTGACAATCAAAAGTTTATGACTGATACACGACGCTGGACAAAAATGGATAGCAATAGGTCATCAGAGTGACTCAGCCTCAAAAGTTGAAGTCATCACATATCATAAAGTTTACCTTTCAGCTTACCATATGTCACTGCGTATAGGCAGCTAACCACACAATCAAACTTACTGTGTTTCAAGTTCATTGAAGAACGTGGTGAAAGGAATGTGCTCTCGGCCGGATGGACAATATTGACGTTATAGCTGCAAACATGTGCTGCATCCCGCACCAGCAATGAGAACTTAAAAGTATTAAACAAAACAAAACACTGTAAACCCGGAAATATCCGGTTGCACTTAAAATAAGTTGTACATAAACTAATTCGTGAACACTACACTCCCCGTCTTATATCATAGATATAACTAGTCACTAACTGACATTGACAAAAATCTCAAACTGTTACTGCATAACTACAATAAACTTATTCACAAAGTTACTGTTCAAGCAGAAGAACCATCTCGGTTATGGGTCGGGTGTAAACCTTCCTGTCCTTGGCAACACGTACAACAGCTTTCCGGACCATTGCATCATTGCTCTCAATCGGGCGCTCGACTATCCCCATCGGCCACAGGTTCCTATGGACGTTCTTCTCACGTAAGAGTACAACATCTCCGCTCTTCAGATTCTCTTTACTTGAGTACCACTTCTGTCTCTTTTGTAAACTGTCCAAGTAGGTAACGTGCCACTTCTTCCAAAACATATCAGACAGCACCTGAACATGTTTCCAGCTGGCTGTGTACATGTCCTTGATACCCAAATGTTCTGAGAAAGATCCGATATCCCCCTGTTTCTGTGTCAAGAGTACGTTTGGGCTCAGTACCATGGGTGATGATGGGTCCGTATCAAGCGCTATCGGGCGAGAGTTAAGTATGGCACAAACCTCTGCCATGAACGTGACTAGTACTTCGTGTGTAAGTTCTTTGCCTCTGTCTTGAAGCAGCATAGAGTCCAAAATCCTGCGAGCACTACCAATAACTCTCTCCCATACACCTCCCATATGGGATGCATGAGGGGCATTAAACAACCAGGTTGCTCTGTTCTCCTTCAGGTAAGTCTTCATCATATTGTCTTCAACGTTGATGGCATTCACATCAAGGTCCTCCACAGCTCCAATAAAATTTGTCCCCCTGTCAGAACGAAAAAGCTTTACTGGTCCACGCAAGGCTATAAAGCGTCTCAGGGCATTAATGAAGCATGAGCTAGACATGTCCTCAATCACTTCAATGTGTACTGCTCGTGTAGTTAAGCAAGTAAACAAGACGGCCCATCTTTTACTCTGAGCTGATCCACCACGCGTCTTTCTGGTAACTACCGGCCACGGACCAAACACATCAAGTCCTACAGAGGAAAATGGGGGTCCTGGGGTGAGCCGATCAACAGGGAGATCTGCCATCTTCTGTTCCTGGGGCATCCTACGGAGCTTCCGACACACAACGCAACCATGAATGATGGAGGATACGAGTTTCTTTGCTCCCAGAATCCAATAGCCATGAGAACGTACGGCGCCTTCAGTGATCGTTCTGCCCTGGTGGAAAACCTTGTTATGGATGAAATGTACCAGTAGTACTGCCACATGTCCGTTAGGAACTATAACTGGGTTAAGCGATGAGAGTCCTGTACTCTTCAGCTTGTTCAAACGACCTCCAACTCTGAGCAGACCTTTGTCATCGATAAAGGGAGATAAATCCAGAATACGACTGTCCCTAGGTAGGTCATGTTTTCTCTCAATTGCTTTGAGTTCAGCACCAAAGGCCTGAGCTTGTACACATCTAATAATGAAGCGTTCAGTGTCTTTGCGCGCAGATTCACATTTGGTGTTCTGGCACATGTGCCAACCAGTACAGTCATTGGAACCTCGGTAGGAGGCAGCTTCATGTCGAAGTATGGACAATGCGGCCACAAGACTGTCCCAAGTA